CAGCCTGGGTAACATGAGTGAAACTCCGTCTCAAAAAAAAATAAAAATAAAAATAAAATAAAAAAAAATAAAATTAAAATAAAATTAAAAAGCAGTAGCTTATTATTAAATCTGAGCCCCCCCCCACCTCCCAACAAGATCATTACCAGGTTATTATTTTACTCAGTCCTCCTATGTTGAGAACTCAGCTTTAGAAGGAATCCCAAAAGGCAGAGTAAAAGGTAATAAATATTCAGTTAATACTTGGTATGGAAATACAAATAATTCTAAAAATCCATATATCACTCAAGGAAAAATGCAGAATAGAAATACAACACCAAAGAAGGAAGTTTAAGAGAAAGATTTTACAGACTCAATCAAGTCAAGCTGTATCTTCAAATAAGGGGAGGAAACATGGTAGCAGTCATGCCAAGAAAACAAGTAAAAGTGATCATGAAGACTTGGTTTTCTGGCTTACCCTTCTCAAACAACGTCAAAGCTTCTAAAAAGAATTTTATTAGAGTCTGTTAATAGAGATTTTTAGGCTGGGCATGGTGGCTCAAGCCTGTAATCCCAGCATTTTGGGAGGTCTAGGTGGGAGGATCACTTGAAGCCAGGAGTTTGAGATCAGTCTCTACAATTTTTTAAAAAGTTAGCTGGGTATGCTGGCACACACCTATAGTCCCAGCTACCCAGGAGGCCGTGGCAGGAAGACTGCTTGAACCCGGGAGTTCAAGGTTGCAGTGACCTATGACAGCAACACTGTACCCCAGCCTGGGTGAGAGTGAGACTCTGTCTCTAAAATAAATAAATTTTTTTAAAAAGAGACCTAGAGTTGGAATTAGGAGAAACAAACTGGATTTCATTTAATACATGTCTAATGAAGACCCGTAACCTGCCTATACTGTTCTAGGCTCTCATACAACGTGAACAAGAGACAGAAAAAACTGCTACCCTCACAAAGCTCTCTACTTAACCTTTCTGAATTTTCATTTCATCTGTAAAATTAGGGCACTGAACTGCATGTTTTTCAGACTGTGCTTAAAAACAACTGACATTCTATTTTAATGACAACCACTGCTTTTTAACTGACATTCTATTTTAATGACAACCACTGCTTTTTTCTGATTTCTGTATCAGGAGTCTATACACAATGTCCTTTGGAAAAACAAATCTTTTTAAAAAAAACTTTTGCAGTTTGCTAACCACTTGTAAAAGAAAAAATGGCCCTGCACAGTGGCTCATGCCTGTAATCCCAAGACTTTGGTAGGTCTTGGCAGGAGGATTGCTTGAGGCCAGGAGTTTGAGAGCAGCCTGGGCAACATGGTGAAACTCAGTATCTACAAAAATAAAAATAAAAATAATTAGCCAGATGCAAGCCTGTTGTCCTAGCTACTTGGGAAGCTGAGACAGGAGGATCACTTGAGCCCAAGAAGTTGAGGCTACATCTAGCTATGACTGTGCCACTGATTCCAGCCTGGGTGGCAGAGTGACACCCTGTCTCTAAAACAAACAAACACCCCAAAAACTTTTTTCACTCTACTTTCTTCTGCACAGACTACTTCTGTGACTAGATATGTGGGTTTTTATTTTTCCCCAGCAGACACCAATTGGGTGTCCTCCATTCCAATTCAATTCTGACACTACCTACCTCAAGTTAGACTCAGACCTCCCAGATGACGGGTTCAGTTCCATAAGACAGCTCACCATTTCAGATGTCTATCATAGGTATCATAAGCAGCAGGTTGCCATCTGTACTTCTGAGGAACCGGCTATAAACTGGAGTTTCTACTACTCTCTCCTTAGGTTCAATTACTTTGGTAAAAGGGCTCCTGGAACTCAGGAAAACTATTACATTTACTGTTTATTCTAAAGGATATTACAAAGGATACAGATGAACAGCTATATGAAAGAGATATACAAGGCAAAGGATGGGTGCAGGTGCCGCCACCCTCCCAGCTTCTCCACATGTTCAGCAACCCAGAAGGTCACCAAATCTTACTGTTCCAGAGTTTTTATAAAGCTTCATCTCCAGCCTATCCACTCCCCTTCAAAGGGGTTTATGGGTGAGGACTGAAAATCCCAACTCTCTAATCACTTGGTCTTTCTGATGACCAGCTCCAGCCTGAGACTGTCTAGGAAACCCATCCTGAGTCCATCTAATTAGCATAAACTCAAATGTGATCAAAAGGGGCTCCTTATGAGTAACAAGTGACACTTGAAATTGTAAGGGTTTTAAGAGCTGTTACAGGAACCCAGGACGAAGGCCAAATATATTTCACATTACACCACAACACTGAAGTAAGTGACCTCTACATATCATTCCAGTTTTACAATTCTGTCTGTTTTATGCTCATATTTCTGACCTATTTCTTTTCACCATGTCTGGAATTCCACAGAGATATATTAAAAGGCTAACTACTTTAGGTAGGGCTGAAAAATAAATGAGAAACCCAAACGACTGTTTACTAGATGCTTATATCATGTAGCAAACTTTTTTTTTAAGATTAGCAAACAAAATAAAAACAGATTTAATCTTATTGCTTCTCTACTTAAACTAATCCCTTCCAGAAAAACAAAAACAAAAAAAAATCCCTCTGGAGGATGAGGTATGAGGATCACTGGAGCCCAGCAGACGTAGGGAGACCTTGTCTCTACCTGACCCTAGTTCTTATATTTTACCTTAACTTTCAAATTTCCTAGCATAATATTTAAGGCCTTTATGCAATCTGACCCCTTTTAATCTGTTCTTTTCAGTTTCGATGCCTTAGCTTCTCTTGCCACCCAGCACCCCTTGCACCTCCTGACTGCTTCCACTTTCCAAGCATGCCTTGCACTTTCGTATTTCCAAACTTTAGTTCACACTGTAACCTCTGCCTAGAGTCAAACTTTCCCTCCCACCTCAACATGTCAAGTCCCTCAAGGCCAGAATCAATTCAAACATTACCAAATACAGGGCAAGTTAGGAGAGAGGCAGGGACTCTGTCTCATCTGCTACCCCAACCTTGAGTCCCCAACTGGTAAGCAGGCAATAAACGTTGAAATGATTATTGCAACATTAAAGGAAATTCAAGCAGTATAAACAGGAGAACCCAGGCATCATCTATATTTGGCATCAAAACATTGATTTGTTCCTACAGATTTTAACATCCTGATTATATTTGGCTGAGTACATATCCTGGCATTCTTGAGTGTTCACAAAATTTATAAGACTGAAATAAACATTTGCCACTTTCAAAACTGCATATTCAGAAAATCAAGAAAAGACACAATCCTTGAATCACTGGTAAACATGGGTCTACAATGTTTTAAAAGACTTGGGCTCTTTCACTAAATTACTGTGTTCTAGTTCCTTCACAAAGCTATTTTAAAAACATACAAAAACAAGAACTTATATTAAGGTTACAAGGACAAAAACTGCTCACAAGTAATATTTTTACATTTGTTCAGAAAAGGTGTACCACACCAATAACACTGGTCATATTCAAAAGCCATTATAGTAACAATGACTACTGAGAGAACAGCATGTAGTATTGACAGGTAAAGCTGATCCAATATCACATTTGCTTATGAAAAAAAATCAACCTCTGATTCTCAGGACAAACGATAAACTTCATGTTTGAAAACCATCAGTTGTAAAACTCAGATGTTGGTTAAACTAATTCATAAAGTCCAGTAGATGTTCATTAGCAAATTAGACAAAAACAGGTCAATCATTTGGAGAGTACTAATGTAGTTTCATTCTCGAACCAACACAGGACAGAGGTATTTTTCTAAATTCAATTACTTTCCAAAGTTCTCATCTGACATACTATCAAGTCTATAAGAAGAATTCCCCCACCCTTGGCCCCTACCTGCGAACATTCCAAATCTCAACATTAGGAAATGCATATCCTAGAGACGATCATTTTCCAGCCTGCTAAAGCCCACGACCTTAGAATCAAAGCGGCTTTCGTGCTGCATTTGGCTGCTGCCTGTATGAAGGCCTTGCCTCAAAGCAGGGCCAACGCCGGCACGTTTTTCCATCTCTGAAAGGGGAGCTAGGAAAAACACCCAGATCTAAAGATGTTCGTTTAAATCCGTTTACACCTGCTCCCTTTCAAACACTACAAGCAAACTCCAAACGCTCCAGCAGCAGCCACAGCGGCAATGACAGATCTCGAGGCCGAACTGGGTCAGGGTTACAGTTACACTCATGTAGCATATTTACACCCTTTTGTCTACAAACTTGAGTGCAAACTTAAGTTTCCTCAAGGCAGCGTGCTCGCTGGGCCTCAGGAACCGAAGCAATTTTCCTGAGACAGGAAGGGCACAAGCCACCCTGCTGGATGGCTGCAGCAGCCTTCCCCAGACCACGCACTCTGCGGCCTCGGCCTCTGGCCCGCTCCCGCAGCCGAGGGGTCGCTCGGGGCAACTCGCCGGCGCCCAGGCTGGGTAACTGGGTTTTACTACGTGGACTCCCCCTTTTCGGTCTCCTCTAGTCGCTCCCAGCGGTTTCTGACCTGGGGTCGCATTACATAAACAGCCCCGGCCTCGGCTTTCCCAGGCCGGCCCCCGCCCCCACGCCAGGGGCGCCCTTCCCCCTCCCCCCCGCGCGCCCCGCGCCCCGCGCCGCGCCTTCCCTGCCCCCACCCGCGCCTAGCCTAGACCCCGCGGCCTCCGCTCCGCGCCCCTTTCCCTCCCCCGACGCCCTTCCTGGCCCGCCCCACCCCGATGTGGCCGTGCAGGCCGCTCAACCGGTGCTAGGCCCCGCTCTCCGCCCGGGCCGCCCGCCTCACCATTCTGCTGGTGCGGCGCGGAGCCCGGGCCCGCGGACGCGGCGGCTCCTGAGGCGGCGGCTCCGCCGAACTTGGGCGGGATCCGGGCGCTGGCGGCCGGGTGAGGGGACCCGGCGGGGGCCGACATGACGGCGCTGCTGGCGACGGCGGCTCAGCTTCGGGGAGGTGGGCGGAGGGAAGGGAAGGCGGGGCTGGAGAGGGGAGAGGAAGAGGAAGGAACGCGCCTGGCGTCACCAAGGGAGTCGCCGGGACCGCGGCTTAGGTGCCCACGCTCCTCCGCGACCCCAGAGCCGCCGCTCAGCCGCCGCGGGCGCGGCGATCCTGGGTCGCTCCGCCTTGCCCCACGCCGCGGTACTTCAACCTGGGGTCGTTCCCCGCACGCGCCGGCGCCGCCGCAGCGCCCCCTGCAGGCCAGAGCCAGGTGGCCCAGGCCAGAGGCGGGCCCGGAGTTCCGCGGCCACGGTGCCGGCCTCGCGACGGCTGCTCCAGCCCGGCCAGCTGCCTTCGTGTTGAGGCGAGAGGCCCGGGCTTCGGTGGGTGAAGGGACCGAGTGGCCCGTTCCCACTTCGGGCGGAGGCCCGATTGGCTGCGGCGAGGCTGGGCCCGGCATTACTGGGAGAGGAACTTGAGAGCCGCGCGGGGTGATGTCCGGAGCTCGGGCAACGCCAGATCCGACTGACCATGCACCCTTCCTGGAAGAGGAACAATGGCTTGGGTTTGGTTTTTAATTCTTGATTCTCCACCTCCCCTTTCTTAATTCCAAATGAAATATAGCATTCAAGCTCCATGTCTGTTGGGAATACATAATTTCTTGGCAAAGAAAGAGGAAACATTTCTCTGATAAACACAAGAATCTTAATAAGAATTGAATTATTCAGAACTTTCCCCACTAAGTATCTACTTTTTTTCCCCCTAGATTCCCTTTATTTTCCCCTAAAGTATCTAGGGAAGAGGAAGGGGAAAATGGGGTAAGAGAATGCTGGAGGACAAACTTTATCTTCTTTTTTTTGGCCAAGAGTGGGCGCATCCTGCTGGTTTTCGGGGAAGTTGTGGCTCAGCTTGCTTTGTCTGCATTAGTGGAATCTTTAAGTCTTCTTGATCTGTCTCACCATACTCACTGGCAAGCCCTAGACTACATTACCCAAGTCTTTTTGCCGTCTTGGAATCGTGAGTATGTCATCATTCTGTATTGGAGATGAGATTGCTCAGAAACACTGAATTCAGAATGGGATCTAGCAAGATGGTATTTCTGGAGCAATAAGAAGTCATTTGCTGAATGATTATGCAAAGCGCAAATTGCATTCTAGTCCTGGAATAACAAAGCTTCTTTTTAGTTGTTACCATAAATTAATAACTGGCATTTCAATACACTAAATGAACTACAAATAGGATTTTACTAGTTAGATTTATACTTTTGACTTCTAGGAATTTCAACTACATTAGGATCCATATACACAAAACGGGCACCCCTTTTCCACAGCGTTTCCAGCTTCTTCACAGAAGCTTAGCCTCACATGAACAAAAGATCACACTCTATGCTTCATCCAAGAGATTACACAAGTACAGATTCCAGCATCTCCCAGGAGTCCTTTGAATTTGGATTAAGGTCTATAATTATGTGGGTAAGGGAATAACTAGGTAATTGGCTTTCTGCCTCTGGAATGTATTCTTCTGGGTATAAGAGGCCCATTTTAATCAGAAGTATATGGGATGAAAGCGAACCCTGTCTCTTAAGGGGAGACTCCTTAAAAGGAGGATTGGGGCCTTGTGTTTTAATAGATCCTCTCTGCAATCTTTAACACCTAAGCTGCTTCCCCTTGTCCACTAATTTGCTGTAGAATTTTTCTAGCACGTTTATGATGGTGTTCAGGACACACTGCCCCAAAATATAACACCTTTGCATATTGAACATTTTAAGCTGATGGAATTTGAGAAATGGCAGGTGTGAAAGGGACTCTGATCTTCCCGTGAACCAGGTCTTAAGACCCTCATGTGAGAGATTAAGGAAAGCAGCAATCTTACACCTATACCTAGAGGAAAGAAGCAATCTAATCTGTGAAGACAGAAAGATGCCAAGAGGAATCTATATGAATAGGCCTTGCTAGGTTTCCCCCAGTTTACTGCTGTTAGCTCATCTTTTTTGTCTTACCACATTTTTCCATGACAGTCTACTTTTCATGAAGCCTGGTATAAAACACCAGGTTTATTCAGGTCTTCATTTCCTTATGAAGGCTCCAGTGCCATGTAAAACTTACGTTAAATGTTACATGTTCATATGCCTTTCATTTGTTTCAGGGACCCCACATGCACAGGCCTTGTGCTGTCACCGCTGTGGTTCGCCTTCTAGAAGGGTAGAAGGAAAAGATATTTTTCCTCCTGTACATTCACAAGAATCTTTTACATGACAAACCCTACAACCTTTATGAAAATATTTCACTCATTTGCTTTAATTTCCATTACTGTTATAAGTGAAAAAAAAAAGAAAGGATAAAAGATTGAATGAATAGGATTGAACCATCTACTAGGCACTGTGCTTGTCACTTTAGATATATATATATATTTTTTCTATTTAATCCTAACATTAACTCCATGGGATATTTTTCTTATCCCTATTTTATCTGTGAAGAAACTAATGCTTATAGAGCTCAAGTAATCTTGTACCTGGAATCATGTACCTGGAATTAGCAGAACCAGAGATCAAACTGAGGCTTATTTAGCTCTAGACCATTGCTTCACTACAAACTATACTGGGTTAATTTACATTTTTCTTCCTAAAGCTATGCTAGTCATGATATACTACCTTGCTATCAAAGGATTTTCAGTTTTTTGTACTTAGAATTTGTTCCAGTATACTTTACAATGGTAGATCTCAGAGTTTTTGAAATGTAGATTCGTTGGCCCAAACCTTGGACCTACTGATTCAGAAGCCTTTCAGATAGGGCCCTACAGCAAGCTCTCTGGGCAATTCTGACGCCTGGGAAAGTTTGAGGACCGCAGCTTTTGAATAACAAAGTTAAGCTGAATTGGTTCATTCTCTTTTACTTTGGAAGTTGATGGTCCTTTCTTGCAGGACATCTTTTCAATCTTTTCCAGACCAATAAAAGTAGTCTTTTGTAGATTTTTGATTATAGTGTCACAAATGCCAATTGTGATGTTTCCATTGTCAACTCAGATTGTTTGAGGGGTAGTGTTGATGCAGATGCTGAGGCCAAATCTACATTCAGGGGGAAAGTGGGTAATTGAATTAATCTCTGCTGCATGTATCAAAGCAAAATTTTTGATGACTATCAAATTGTAACACTTGTGTTACTATTTATCATTCCCAACTTAGGACTCTATTCTCTGTAACAGAAGTGGGAGCCTTGGACAAAAGAACACATCTCTAGCTCAAGAAATGTCAGCTCTTTTTTTGTGTTTTGGAGAATGCCGCCCAGCCCAGTCTGGAGTGCAGTGGCGCGATCTCGGCTCACTGTAACCTTCCCCTCCTGGGTTCAAGCGATTCTCCTGCGTCAGCCTCCTGAGTAGCTGGGCTACAGGTGTGCACCATCACTCCTGGCTAATTTTTGTGTTTTTAGTAGGTAACGGGGTTTCACCATGTTGGCCAAGGTGATCTTGAACTCCTGACCTCAGGTGATCCGCTTGCCTGAGCATCCCAAAGTGCTGGGGTTACAGATGTGAGCCACCACCCCTGGCCAAGAAATGTCAATTATTTATTGTAGCCTGGCTTTCCACACTCCTCCAGCAGCCTTTTTATTCTCTAGTTTTTAAATCGCATTTGAGCTTTGCAGATTACTCCCTCTCTTTTAGCGGCATTCTTTGTTAGGTGTCCCTCTCCTAATATGAAGAAACAATTTCTTCATTCTCCTCCTTTATCTGATCTATTTACAGATTTATTACCTTTGTAATAGGCCAGGTATTGGGTATACAAAAATGAATAAGATATAGTCTGTTCTCAAAAGTATGCAGAAACTTTTCTATATATTCCTACTGACTTATATTTAGATTTCTTGAATTAAAAAATATATACTTGCTGTATTTTTTGTTTGTTTTTTGCTCTTTGAGAATCTTTGTTCTTTTCATTATGGCATTCCAATTTGAGTTTCACCCCTCATTATCATGAGAAGAAATAATTTCACTGACTTTAGTAATATTTGGTCACTAATGTTGATGTCACTTAACTCTCATTTACATTTCAGTAGTCCAAAACACAACTAAGATACTAAAAGAAAAATAAAAGGTGAGATTATTAGGCAAATAATTACCACATAATCAACCTGTGAACAATAGTGCATGCACTTACAGGAAATTCTCTCAGATTGTCACAAACTGTTTGGCTATTCTTTCAGACATGCTGTAATTTCTGTAGTTACACACTTATTTAGCCCACAGCAGATTAGAAACTACAAATCGAAAGGCAAGGGAAGGAACTGCTGTTAATATAGGTATGCTGAAAGCAGCAATCACTATTAGTTGGCAGAATAAGCTCAAGAAAAAAAGAAAATTAAAAAGATGAAAGAAAAATGCACAGTAGTCTGAGACAATTAGTTACATTGAACAACCCTATTTATTCCACTGGAATTATGATAAACATAGTCCACAAGTCTCTGCTATCTGAGAAATTTAGAACCTAGTATTCCGAAGGGAATAAAGTGAAGGGAACTATCGTATACTAAACGCCTGCTGTATAACTTGAAAGCGCTTTATGACATCACCATATATCAGGACCAAAACAGATACTCGTAGCTTTGGCCTTCAATTACAAAGAAAAATTAAATTATGCTCTGTACTCTGTTTCAGAAGACAGGAGGAATATAGAACCCATTTTGGAACTTTAGAAACTATTTTACATATGAACAGGTTAGTTTCCAAAATCTTCACTGTTCGTTAGTCCCAATACTCACAAGTCCAGAGTAAGCCACATATACATTTCCAGAAAACAGAAAAGTGTGCCAGTCCTTTGAAACTTTAGAACCAAACTTACTCTTCTTCTTTTTACTGATATAAGTTGTATAGGGTGTCCCTCAAACTAATGCACGTATGAATCTCTTGATGATTATGTTAAAATGAACATGCTTATAGGGAAGGGTTAGGATGGCCTAGAATCTGCATTTCTGGCAAGCTCCCAGGTGATGCTGATGCTGTTGATCCATGGACCACACTTAGAGTAGCAAGGTTCCAA